TTTTTTTTACATTTTTTTATAATATTTTGTAGCAAAAGAGGCCTTTTTTTAATGTAATGCTAAATTTCATTTTAATGTAATGTTGTTGTTAGTATTTGTTTATAATCAATATGAATATAACTTCAAAGTTTAAAAAGTTTTTTCACAGACTCACTGCCTACCAGTGCTTACTACAATATCCCACCGTCTACCACCGTCTAGCATCACAGAATTAATTAAAGTAAAGGTCTAAGTAGAGTGTACCTAAGAATTTAGCAAAAAAAAAGTAAAAAAAGGAAACCAAGAAAGTTATTTCCAACTACAGCTGCCTTTTCTGCTCAAAATCTCTTACAAATTTGAGACTGAAAATTGAAGCTTAAATTTTATGTTTACTTTAGGTTTAGGAATTGCTTGAGGAGTATGTTGAGGAGTGGGAGTAGCTTGAGGAGGAGGAGTAGTTGAAAACGAGTTAGGAGCAGCTTGAGGAGTTGAGTAATATGAATAAGGAGAGGTAGAAGAGTTTTTGTATATTTATTTTGTGAGCTTTTAATGTAATGTTTCAATTAATTCTTTCAAAAATTTGACCTGCTAAAAATCTTTTAGTAGTTCAAGAAAAAATTCAAGAGTTTTAAATCTTCGTGCAAATAAGCTTACATCAACATAAAATCAAGTGACGCCACAACAAAAAGGCCTCGGCGCAGTGGTTACAGTGCTTGCTTTATAAGCAGGGATCCAGGTTCAAAACGAGCTGTGGACATATTTTCGCGTCACAATAAGGAAGGAGGCGTAAACTTCCTGGTTAAATGCACTTCCGCGGTGCTCTGTGACAAGACCGTTAGATCTTCTTGGGGCACCTAAATATTAATAAAAAATAAAAAATTGGAAAAAAACATTCGAGTCAGGTTTGGTTCCGTAGTAATAAACTTTATAGTTTGCACGTTAGTTCAGACATTTTTGATACAACTAAAAGCATCAAGAGTCAAAAAAGCTTTAGGTATTTTAAAAATATGCAAAAAGCTTATTTGGATGTACTAAGAAAAACTGTTCCAGTTAAATATACTGGGGAAAAGAGTAGTTAAAATAAGAGACATTGTCCAAAGAATGTCTCTCATCTTAACTAAAGAGGGACAGACTACATTCTTAAAGTTGGATTAGATAAAGGTAAAAGCTTCAAGTCTCTCTTGGAATTTTCAAGTTTCAAATGACAATGTCATTTTCAACTTTCAAATAACAAAATGACATATTAATAATAAGATAAGTTGACTTTTAAAAAATCTAATTTTTTAAAAGTCAACTTGTCTCATACATTGTCAAAATAACAATGTATGAGACAAGTTGACTTTTAAAAAATGATATTTTTATAAAGTCAATATATCTAATACAATTCACTTTTTTAAAAAAGACTCTTATTTGAGTCCTAAAAAATGACCGTTTTTGTCTTAAAAAATTGACTTTTATTTTACATTGCGTGGTCTAAAATCTTATTTGTGTGTTTACTTGGTTTAACGTTGAGACAAGAAATCTACACCTAAGTGGTGAACTCAGAGCCCTTGTGCCCATTGAACGTAATCACAAAGCTTTTGAAGTAAGAAAAATACTTACACAATGTTATCCGTGGACACGTTATCAAGGTAACATGTGAAACGCTAATTTTAGATTTTATTCCCCCCATAAAGCTTCACTTGCTTATTGGGATGGTGAACCACTTATTAAAGATACTCTATTTTAGCTGGTCAAAAGCAACAAAGTAGTCAAAAGTTGTGAACATTGAAACACTCCAAAAATTCAATACAGTGGTTTATTCTGGCTCAGGAAATGTTCTAAAGCATGGCTTTTCATCATAAACTTACACTTGGAATGTACAAACAAGCAACTGAATCAATGCATTGCAACTTCAGTTCCTATTGACAACGCTACATAAGACCAAATTGTCATCCAGTATGGATGACCATTTGATTTTATGAAACATTATATACTAAAAATTTAGTTCTCTATCAAAAGTTATTGAAATTATAATTGATATAAAATATTACTATTAATAGATAAAAAAATATTAATAATAATAATAACTCTACTCTATTAAAATAGAGTATTAATTAAACATTCGGATGAATCAGCATTATTTTTTTGTTCTATCATTATTTACAGTTTATTTTTCAAAATAGAGTAATGAAAAGTATCTTTTTTTAGGGACTGATTTAGATCACTGAAGCTATTTTTTAGTAAAACATGCTTTAGAGTAGAATTCAAACACATTTCAACAAAGAGTTCTCGCGTGGAGAAAAAGTTGATGTTTGAACCTACACCATCGTTTTACTCTTGTTTAGTAACTTTTCAAAAATATTTTGTTTATAATGATAAAAAATCTGTTTTGTAATTCACGGGGTTGTTTTTAAATGAAATAGCCTCTTACACTAAGGAATTGAAGGTATTTGTTTTTACAGAATTTAGTTGCATTTAGTTTTACAGAATTATTTGAAAAAAGCATAAAAGTTTCCAAGAATTTTTGCAATAAAGGTAAGTTTCGCAAAGGAATGAAAATTTTTCACTTCCCTATCCCGTTCCCGTGGAAAAACGGATAAGTGGAAACTTACCTTAAGGAAGCATATAAATTTCCAAGAATTTTTGCTAAAAGAAAGCAAAACAATAATCTTAATCAAGATGTTTAAATAAACTGTGTGCGTGATGTTTATAGTGCAATTTGTTGTTAGTAAAATATATTATACGTTTCAATTTAAATTATTATCTTTTTTAAACTTTATTGGTAAATTCTTAGAAAATATAAGCTTTTTAACACTGAAAAAAATTTTCACATCTTCAAAACTTCTTTCATATATGAAAAAAGTTTTGAAGATGTGAAAATTTGTTTAGATAACATATATGTTATCTAAACAAATTTTTATCTACTTCATACTTAAGTGAATTGTTGAAGTCGTTCAATTATCATAACAAAGTTTTATCTATTTTGTACTAAAGTTACTAAAGTTGTTCTGTTAAAATTTTGCATTATTTAACGTTTTTATAATCCAACGGGACCCTGGATAATATCTGAAAAAACTTGCATTTAAGACTTTTTTCCCAACCACAATAACTTAACGAAAGCTTTCGTACTTTTAGAGGAAAAACTCATACAGAAAACCGTATGACCATTACTGGTTAAAGGTCGAAAAAAAGTTAAATTTATTAATTTTTAAAATTAAAAGTAATTCTTAAGTTAATTTTTTAGTTAATAATAATTTGAAATTATTATTTAAATAACAAGTTGAAATTATCAGTTAACTCACAAGAATGATATCGAACATGCAGTGAGTAGTATGGACATAAAGAACCAGCTAAAGAAGATTTTTGTGTTTATATCAAAGCTTTATTAGGCTATATGAGCTATAACTTGCTCAATTAAACCTAGCATTTAAGTATACGTGAAAAAAAATTATCTGTTCCGTTTCTGTGATCAGAGATGATTTTATTTACCCGTCAATATTATGGCATGAAGACTATAGTTTTAAATTCCGTCATGGATTAACAAACTCAAACTATAAATGAATGTTTTTTTTATCAAAAAATGCTTTAGTCAACTTTTTGAATAAATCATGAACAAGATAGCAATTTACTTAACGTAACTATTTTGGAAAATAAAAACAGGGTGATATTAGTAAATCGCCTGCCTTCACTAGGCAGTATTGATATGGCCATCATGATGATATAAACAAACGAGTAAAAATAGTAAGAAACAAAACTTTTTCACAACACAGGTTGCTACAACACAGGTTGCTACAACACAGGTTGATACAAAACAGTTTGATACAACATAGTTTAATACAAAACAGTTTGATGCAACGCAGGTTGATACAACTCAGGTTGATACAACACAGGTTGACAAAAAATAGGTTGATACAATACAGGTTGCTACAACACAGGTTGCTACAACACAGGTTGCTACAAAAAATAACTTATATTAAATGTCAACGAGTTAAAGAACAAATAGTTTTATGTATTCGACTGCTTTGGTAATGCATGGTAAATATAAACGAAAAAAATTAAAAATCTTCCGTGGATTAAATTTTTTTTGAAAAACATGTGCAAAAATATAGAAATAGCTGTAGTTTGTATGGGGCCATTCAAAGTTTCAAAATATAATATGAACTTATTAAGAAAAAAAAATCCAATGTCTATATATATGCATATATAAACAGTAAATTTAAGACTTAAGATCTCTTTAATGTAACAATACTTTTGGCTACGACAGGAACAGCAATGGAAGTAAAATAGTAAATACGTTAAAATCTTTTAAATCTATTGTAATTTTAGTAAAAGTAAAAGTAATTTTAATTCATTAGTTAATTAATAGTTTTATTTGTTACTTAATTAATAATTTGAAATTTTTTTGTTAATTAATAGTTTCAATTTATTAGTTGATTAATATTTTATTAATTTATTTGTTAATTAATAATTTTAATTTATTGGTTAGTTAATAATTTTAATTTATTAATCAATTGATAACTTTAATTTATTAGTTAAACATTTCAACTTTTAAGTTAAATTTAGAAACCATAAATTTAAGAATCGCAATAAATGAGAATCAGTTTGCAGTTTAACATATTATTAGATATTTTTTTCTGTTACAAAATAACAAATCAAAAGAAAGTGGTGGGGGATAGTATTAACCTATTTTGGTGTTATGTATATATCTATATAAATTTTTATGTCTGAATTTGAAAATAATATTCATTAGAATCAAAGTTAAATTAAAAAAAACTTAAAAGTTATGTAAATATTTACATTTTTAATGTAATTAATTAATATTTAACATATTTAAAAAAAATTTTTTTTATAATATTTAATAAAGATAGATTATTTAAAAATAGATAATTTTTTTTTTTTTTTTGATCTTCTATTGATTCAGACCATTTTAAATTGCATAATCTATGCTTACTGCAGTATTGTTAAAACTTTCTGTACAAAACATTGATTTTGAATGCTGTGTGCTTGTTCATCCATTAAAAAATGCCTAAGCACGAAGTAAATCAGTATAAAATAAAGATGAAAAACAAAAAATAACAACAATGTGATTAAAAAAAGTTAAAAATGTATCTTAGCTTTTTTCTTTTTGTCAATTTTTTCATTCAATATGCGAGTGCTGATCCTTATGAATTCTCTGAGTGTAAAAGACCAACTAACGATCAAGAGCTTCGTTCAAACACATTTTTCCAATTTGAAGTCGATACTTTAGATTATTCTGTTTATAATTTCAAAAAGATGTTTGAAGGAAGAGTCATGTTCGCAGTAAACGTAGCAAGCTTCTGAGGGCAAGTTTTTATAATAACATTTTTATATTAATTTTTCTTATTATCATAGAATACATATATTCTCTAATTTAATAAATATATTGGTTTTACTTATTAGATATACCGGTCAATATCGAAGAATGAATGAATTACAAGAAAAATACGGTCCTCTATATGCAAAAACTTACCATCCACATAAGCCAAATTGTCATATTCAGTTTATAGGATTTCCATGCAATCAGTTCGGGCACCAGGTACAAAGAAATTTTAAAATTTTTTAAATAACAATTAAATTATATGCCATTCATGTAAAAGTTATTAACAAAAATAAAAAATAACAGTTATTCAAGATACAAACGTCATTTTTTCGGTTTATAATTGTTCATACATTTGCAAAAACTTTTTAGGAACCTGCTGAAAACTTTGAGCTTATGAATACTTTAAAGTATGTGCGCCCAGGATATGGATTTGTTCCAAATTTCCCTCTTTCAGGAAAACTGCATGTTAATGGCGCCTATGAACACCCAATATTTACATTTTTAAAGGTTTTTTATTCTTTGACTATTTTTTAAATGTATCTTTTGATAAATTTTTTAATCAACTTTTATTCGATTGTTTGTTCAATTTCAACTGTCCAAAAGTTTGCTTCAACTGTAAAATATAAAACTTCTTTTTATTTTTTCGTTTAAATTTTATAACTTGATAAGTTGTAAATATAATTTGAAAATAATTTAAATGTTTAAAGATTTTTTTAATTAACTTTTTCTTAAAGCATAACAAGTTTAAATCAATTATACTTTTAGAATCGTTGCGAGTCTCCAATGGGATTAATTGCTAATCGCTCAGATATAACATGGACCCCAATTCGTAACAATGACATCTCGTGGAACTTTCAAAAATGGCTGATTTCGTCAGATGGCCACCCATATAAAAGATACACATCTCGTACAACTCCTGCAATGATTGAAAATGATATTAAAATGCTTATTGACCAGTGCGTCCAAGGCAATAATCAGGTGTCAAGAACAAATCAAGATACAGTACTTCCCGGTCCATTACCTCAACCCCAGGCACAAATACCAGCTGGTAGCCCAGGTCCCATACCTGAGCCAGAATCAAATAAATTTCAAAAACGCTATGTCCATGATGGGTTATCGTATTAAGCTTTATGCAGTAATGTTCAAGATGGTCAGCGTTTTGTGGCCATTGTCCATGGTCAGCGTCCCGTGGCCATGGCGCATGGCGCATAGCGCATGGAGCATGTTTTATGTGGCGATGTTCAAGATATTAAAAAACTCATCTGTATAGAGAAGTTATTATTTTAGTTAAAATAATAAATATAATAATAATAAAATTACCTTATACAACAAAAATTCAGAAATGTTTTTAAAATATCTTGCATATCGCTAGCAAATAAATTCACGTATACGCGCGCACACACCCATACACACGCACGATCACCCACATAAACACACATATATGCACACACAGGCCCATATAATACAGATGTTCATTAAAAATGCAATTAAAAGATTTTATATTTTTATATATATTTTATGATGCAGTAAAATAGATAACTTGCTTTAAGTATCAAAAAATGAACTAAAAACCATTCATGCATGATTCAAAAATGTTATGAAGGTCTTCGCTTAAAACTGAAAGCTACGTACAGTGTGCGAAAACCTGATGTAAAATCGCCTAAAATCAAGTGTTCTTTGTAATTCATTCGTTCTAGATTTTAAGGCAAATTTTGTTTTGTTTTTGTCAATAAAATCATGTATATCTATTTGGTATGTTTAAAGTAATAATAATATTTTACTTTACGCTTCTTGATTTCCGTTAACACATTTTTTTTTTTTTTACAAAACTTTTTTCCAAGCCTCAAATGTTAGAAAACAATTTTGGGTTGGCCAATTAATCTAAATTCGCTATTTCCGATTCAAAAAACAACTATACATACTTTTATAGTAGGCATGTTTTGTTTTACGAAATCACTTATTATTTGCTTTTATAGCAAGTTATATTTAGCATTATAAAATTAAATAGAGCAGCCTGATTTTTATTTAAAAGTTTGTTAAATTAAACAATTTATTTCAAAAAATTTTGTTTTTTTGTATAAATATAACAAGGTATATATCAAATGACGCCGTAAAGATGAAAAAAAAAATTTTTTTTTTAATTCTTTAAGAAAATCACAATGTATCTCCTCAATATCTAATTATCTCCGAAAAACTTG